GGGTCAGGCAGGTGATGCCGCGGACACTAAGCTCGTCTCCGGCTCAGCGACCTGCGTGAGCCACTGCGGCCGCTCGGGACGCGCTGGTCGGATGTGGTTCAGAGCGTGTATCACGGCACGTGTTGCATTTGTGCGCCTATCACCAGTGTGCCCAGTGGTCGGCGCCTCCGGTCCGGGAGGCCGCGGGTCCCATTCCCGGCAGAGCACCTGCCCGGCTGCGGGTTGGAGCCCCGCTCCGGGCACAGGGGAAGCAGCGGATGGATGTGCCTCTCTTTCTTTCCTCTCTCACATCAACAAGCGTGCCCTCAGGTGGGGATTTAAAAAACAAACAAGCGCCCTGACCGGTTTGGCTCAGCGGATAGAGCGTCGGCCTGCGGACTGAAGGGTCCCAGGTTCGATTCCGGTCAAGAGCATATGCCTGGGTTGCGGGCACATCCCCAGTGGGGGGTGTGCAGGAGGCAGCTGATCGATGTTTCTAACTCTCTATCCCTCTCCCTTCCTCTCTGTAAAAAATCAATAAAGTGTATTAAAAAAAAAACACAAGCATGGTAGGAAAACAAAGTCACAGTACACAGATAGTACATATATATGTTTATCGGTTTCGGAGAGGAAGGGAGAGGGAGCGAGAGAGAGAAACATCAGTGATGAGAGAGAATCATTGATCGGCTGCCTCCTGCACGCCCCACGCTGGGGCTCGAACCCGCAACCGGGCACGTGCTCTGACTGGGAATTGAACCTTGCCCTTCTGTTGAACCTTGACCTCCTAGTTCATAGGTCAAGGCCCAACCACTGAGCCACGTGGGGAGGGCAGTACTTACTGAACATTACCGTTTGAATCCTCTCCTGTGTATGGTAGAGGAAATCTTAATTTCCAAAGCTAATCAAAACATAAAAAGTCAGTTATTTTTAGAACATTGTGGCTTTGGGTATAAGGAGTATTTACATCTGAGTTATTGATAGCTGAGCAAAGTGAGGCTTGTGCTTTCAGATGGAATATGAAATCGAAATTAAGATGTTAACTTTTTTCCCTGAACTAAATTACATTTTTTGAAATGTGAATATGCAGATTGACAGTGACTTACCCTCACTGCCCAGGAGTAATGGTAAAGCCTTGCTCTGAAGTGCTCCCTGGGTTTGTCCGTCAGTCCTCCAAGGAGTCGTGTCAGATAGATGCCTGCTCCGTTGTGAGTTGGAGGCATCTCTGGCTCATTTCACGTAGCCACCGGTGGGGACCCACCAAACTCCAGCGCCTCTAACTTCAGGCAGAGCTTGCTCTGCGCGGGCCGTTGGTTTAGTAAGTCCCCGTAGCTGCCGGACAATTGTCTGTCAGGGCAAATCAGGGTTTTTAAATTAAGATACTGCTAGTTGTTTTTAGAAGGTTGTCTTATTTTTGACAAGGCTAGCAAGTTTGCAACATTTCTCCCCGTTCCTCACCTTCCTCTCAGATCCCCAGAAGAGTGTTGGTTTATTGTTGACATTGGTTCATGTTTTGTTTTCTCAGCTAAGTGCAAGAGGTTTATTGAATACTCTATAAATTTATTGCCAACCCTCATGTGAACTGGATTATTGCAGCCGTTTTCTTAGTTGATGGTTTTAAAATTATATTCTGATGCTACCACTGTTCTGATCTTAGAGCCTTGAAACAGATTTATTCCATGCAATACATTGAAGCCTCTCTTAACACTTTCAATCACAGCCTCAACACTCTGTCAAGTTGAACCTGTGGGAAGATGGTTTGAAGCTTTTGTTAAGAGGAGAAACAGAAATGCTTCTGCCTCTTTTCAGGAACTGGAGGATAAGAAAGAGTTATCAGAGGAATCAGAAGATGAAGAGTTGCAGTTAGAAGAATTTCCCATGCTGAAGACGCTTGATCCCAAGGACTGGAAGGTATTTAACAGCTGGACCTTTTGTTCAGTCAGATGCTGTGTTAGACACGGGCAATTTTCTCATGAGTCCTCCATTAATAGCTTTAGGATGCTGCAGTAAGACAACTGTAGTTGAGCACCTTTTCATTGTTGAGCCTCAGTGGGATCGCACTAGCCATAGGGTACTCTTTCTGCTGAAGACGTCTAGGAAGGCCTCACAGGGAAGATGATGTTTGAGCTGGTCTTAAAAGGATGAGAGGCAGCTTATGAAGCAAAGAAGGGAGAAAAGGTATTCTGGGCAGAAGGAATAGAGATGCAAAAACACAAACGCGTAAAAGAATATGTACCACCTTTTTGGGATTAGTTAAAATTAAGGGTTGTTCTTGCGGGAAGGTGGTGAGAAATTCCACCTAAAACAGACTCTAGATCAGCGGTCACCAACCTTTCGGACCTCGCGGACCACCGGTTGGCTACCGCTTCTCTAGATCCAACTGTGTAGTGTCCTTTTTATGCCATGCTACGGAAGGAATTTTATTTCAGGGCAGTAGGAAGTCATTAAAAGTTTCTAAGCTAATTTTAGAAAAGTAATTCTCCTGGCAGCACAGAAAATTGCTTGAAAAGGGAGGGCAGGTCTGGAGGGGAAGTGAATAATTTGCTAATATAGGCCTAATACAATAACTTAAGCCTTCAAATGAATGCCTGATGCTTGAATTAAATTTGTGACTGGGTTTTGAGGAAGAGGGGATAAATTTTTGGGGTGAGAGGGGGTAGTCTTGAGAAGTTTTGACCTCATCTGTGTGTCACAAGAGAAGGGAATGTATTCAGAAGACTTCTGTGCATTTGGGCTTGTTACCAACACTGGGATGCAGGAAAAGAAAGTTTGTGGGGAGTGGTGTTTGTGTTCAAATTTGGTTATGTCAGACTCGAGGTTCTGGTAACATACTGGTGAAGTTGTCTGTTAGGTGTTTAGAAATTGGTTCGTGACTCTGCAAAGAGGTTAGAGGCAAAAAGCACTTGCAAGTCGTTGGCACATAGGTGATAGGTGAGGCTGTGGGAAATTGAATGACATCAGCCTAGGAGAAGAATAGACAAATAGGTATTATTGCTTAAGTTGGTGCTAGTATAATACTTCAGTGTACAGACTTTGGAATTAGAGTGCCTGAATTCAAATCTGATTCTGCCCATTTAGTGTGCTGGGACCTTGGGAAAGTTACCTGACATCTGTGCACCTCCTTTCCCTTATTGGTACAATGATGTTGTTAACAGCTCAGAGGATTATAGTGAAGATTAGTGAAATGATGCATATAAGGCACTTAACTAGTGCTTGGACACCTGATAAATTCAAAATAAATAGTATATAGTAAGAGTTCCTATCTCATTGATTGAAATGAGTGTTAAATGAGGTAAGGCATATGTATAAAGCACTTAGAAAAGTATATAAGCACTCAGAAAGTGTGAATTGATTCTCCTGCCATCATGATCAGTTTTAAAAGAAAAGAACAACATTGAGGAGCACAGCACCGGTAGATATTTAAGGGTGATTATAGGAGGAGAAACAGCAAAGGATACTACAAAGAGTAAAAGAAGTAGAAGGAAGACAAAAAAACATTTGCTTAACAACGTTTCATTAGACATCAGGCACTATACTCTTCCAAAAACTAAGGGAGGAGGAAGTCACAAGAAGAAAACACAATCACCAGTGTCACTGCTTTGGAGAGAGGTCAACCACATAACATAAATAAAGATAAAAAGCCATTGGGTGTGGCCAATGAAGTTTAGGTGACCACCGTGAAAGCCGTTCTAGTGAAATGATTCGGGTAGCAAGAAATTGCAGTGGGTTGAAGAGTTATTAGGAGATAATAAAAAGAGACCTAAGGGTAAAATACTCTTTCAAAGCTGAGTTGTAGAGAAAATGAGAGAAAACAGTAACTTGAGGGAAAGGAAGGGTCAAGAGGACATAGAATTGGGGGGCATTAAGAGCGACAAGAGAGAAAAGGAAGAAAGAATGGAGAAGATCTTCGGTATAGAAGAGTAGATGACATCAGAGCAAGGTGGCGGAGTTCATACATTCTTTTAATTGTTTCATTCAACAAATTATAACCAAGCACCTGCTGTGTGTTTCAGATATTTTTATGGGTGCTAAAGATACTGTGCTGAATAAGACAGTATTGCTGCTTCCACAAACCTTACATTTCAGTGAGGAAACAGATAATAAGCAAGCAATCAGGAACGTGGTCACTAAGTGCTGGGCAAAGAACAACAGAGTAATGGAGTGTTCGGATGACTGTCTTAGACTGAGTAGGTGGGGAAGACCAGTGGAACTGACATTTAAGATGAAACCTGGATGATTTGCAAAGATCAGGGAGAGTGGCATTCCGTGCAGAGAGCTTGTGCTGAGGAAGAAAGAAGTTTGGAATGTTCCAGGAACTGAGAGAAGGCAAGTGGTTGGAACAGAGTGAATGAGGGAGGGGCGAGGAAGTCAGGAGTAGTGGTCCTCAGTGAAAAGCCACATTAGAGTTTGAAGCACTGGCAGTCTTTCAGAACTTAGGGGGGTGGAGGAGGGACAGAAATGGGGAGTCATGAACATTTACACGATTCTTACCATATTCCAGCCCAGCATTCAATCAAGTCACCTAGGATCAAAGTATAGAGAGACAAAAAGAAACCTCAGGATTGAGCTTTGCAGATCATTGACTAACTAGTAAAAATGACTGGAAAAGCTACTGATCGGTGGGAGGAAAACATAATGGATTTAAAGAAACAAGGAAGATAACGTTTCAATAAAAAGAGTTGGTTGTGCTGCCAATAGGAGTTGAAGCCAAGTGAGGGCAGATAGGTGATCTTGGATTTGGTACCTGGAAATTGCTATTGAAAAGAGCAACTTTATAGCACCTGGGCTAGAAGTGGACAGAGCTGAACCAGATTGGAGTGGTTTGAAAATTAATGCTAGAGGAGACAGCTTCTTCAAGGAGTTTAGCTTTGCCCAGCCCATGTGGCTCAGTGGTTGAGCATTGACCTATGAACCAGGAGATCAGGCTCAATCCCCAGTGTGGGACGTGCAGGAGGCAGCCAATCAATGATTCTCTCATCATTGATGTTTCTCTCTCTCTCTTCCTCTGTGAAATCAACAAAAATATATTTTTTAAAAAAGAAGTTCAACTTTGATAGGCAGCTGAAAAATAGGATGGTAGCTGGAAAAGGGGTCCGGGAAAAGTTTTGTTTTTTTAAAGATGAAATATAATAGAGCATCTTTTTATAATGATGAAAATAACCCAGTTGAAATTAGGAGATAGCTGAAAGATGCTAGTATTTGAGGAGCCTTAGAAAAGGTGATATGCAGAACCAAGACGAAGGAGTAATTTGTTTTGGTAGGACAGGCTTTCTCAATTATGAATAAAGGGAAAGGGGGGGGAAAATGTGTGGATGCAGGTAGGATGGTAGAAAGAAGCTGGAATTTGAATAGTGTAACTTAAGTTTTTTAGTTAAGCAGGAGGCATGGACATTGATGAGAGGGTTGAGAAGGGTCTATAAGGTTTAAAGAAAGACCAGAAGACAGAAGGCATGTAATAGTAATCTTAGTGAGTGGAAAGGTGAACTAACTGAAAAAGTACGGTTGCCAGGTCTGATATAGGGGCCAATCCCTATGAAATTTGCAATCCTGAGTTTGAAGGGAAACCATCAGCCTTATTTGACTTTTTTCTCCTCTTTTATGCTCGTAACCCCCCTTCCTTCCCACTCATTCTCCAACACTAGAGTTCTGTAAGGAGCCTTCACTCGAGTTGCTACCCCAACTTCTAAATTTGCAATGCTGTTAACCAAAGCAGAAATGGAAGAGGTACTTCTATTGAGAGAAGCCTCATCCCTCGCTTTCTCAAAATTTCCATTTAACCTACCTTCTTTGGTCCCTGTGGCTCCTGGTTCTTGCCTATTACTGCCCTAGGGCTGCTGTGATGCTCTCTGCAGATCTGAAATCTTCCTGGCTACACTTTCATTTAAGAATGGCCATAGTATGTTAATAGATTTTAAGAGGAAAAGGGGTTCTATGGTCAAGTAAGCTTGGAAAATGCCGGGTTTTACAGATTTCTGTTTTCTTAACTGCAGAACTTCTCAGAGCCTTTATTAAGCTTATGTGCATCAAATCATCAAAAAACCTATATAAGAGTCTGCATTTCCCAAATTTAAATGACCACAGAACCCATTTTATACAGAATGTCTTGCTGGACTTCTATCATGGGAACATCTTTGGGAAGCACTGTTTCAGGGTGCCAAAACACAAGAGATAGTATATATTGCTGCATTTTAAACTTGACTCCCTTTTATGTCTTTATCAGAACCAAGATCATTATGCAGTACTTGGACTTGGCCATGTAAGATACAAAGCTACACAGAGACAGATCAAAGCAGCACGTAAGTATTTACTTATTTTGAAATAATCAGATATCTGGCATAGGAAATGTTTTCCTTTTGAAAAAATGTGCAGGATCGTAGTCTATAGACATAACTCTAAATTGAACCGCATATATCATATGGTTATACCAATGCATGACCACACTCCTTTACCTTCAGAACCAGGAAAATGTTAAGTTGGAAAAAAGCAGAATATAAACTGATATATGATAAGATTATACCTAAAATTTTTGAAGCATATGCTTAAGGGAAAAAAGTCTGTGAAGATACACTAAAATGTTAACAGTAATTGGCTTTGGATGCTGGCACTTTGGCCACTTCTTAAATGATTCTTTGTTTCTCTAATTTCCACATTTAGTAAGCTTATGTTTTACCATAGGCAAAATATTTTTAAATTAGCATTATGATTTTAGAAACGCTATTTAGCTCATCTTTTTTCTTAGTTTTAATGTCTAAAGTAACAAATTATCTAAATCTGGCTTATTTTGTAGATAAAGCAATGGTTTTAAAACATCACCCAGACAAACGGAAAGCAGCTGGTGAACCAATAAAAGAAGGAGATAATGACTACTTCACTTGCATAACTAAAGGTAAGGAAATATTTTAGAGTCAGGCATTTCTAATGGTGATGACTACTCATTTTCAGTTACATGTGGTTATTTTTGGTAATTTTCCCCAGAACCTCACTACACAAGTGAGGTTCTCTCAACCAGCAGCATCAGCAACACCTGACAGCTTTTCAGAAATGCAGAAGCTCAGGCCCCACCCTAGACCTATACTGAATCGGAATCTGTATTTTAATGAGATCACCAGATGATTCTTTTAAGAAGTTCATCCTAGAGTGAATTCATACCTGTTACAGCTAATGATGAAAATACTAAAATCTTTCTCATTTCAGATACTTTATGGGACTAAACTGTTCCTCAGACGTTTTGCTAATTTATATTAAGTTGCTTGTATCCTAATATAGGACCCACAGATGTTTATTGGTAATTACATAACCATGTCCTTGCTAAGCAGGTTAATACAGGTGCCACCATTTCTAAACGTTTCCTTAAATGTGATTTTACATTTTGATGCTAATTTTTTAAAAATTGTAACGCACTTTTTAAATGTATTCTTATTGGCCCACTTTTACACAATGCTCAAGATGCCTGAGATCCTTTGATTGTTCACAACCTGGGGATCTAAGTTAATTTTCTAACAATTTGTTTTTCCTCAGAGTCATGTTTTCTTAAGGGATGAGTATTTTTTTTACTAAATTTTTTATTTTTCAATTACACTTAACTTACAATATTATATTAGTTCAGGTGTACAACCCAGAGATTAGACATTTAAATAACTTACGAAGTGATCACCTGATAAGCCTAGAACCTATTTGACACCATATGTAGTTATTGCAATATTACTGACTGTATTCCCTATGCTGTACTTTATAAACATCCCCATGACTATTCTGTAACAACCAATTTGTACTTCTTAATTCCTTCACTTTTTCACCCATCTCACCAACCCCTCTTCCAAAATGTTCTCTCTCTATATGAGTCTGCTTCTGTTCTGTTTGTCCATTTATTTTGTTTTTTGGTTTCCACACATAAGTGAAATCATTTGGCATTTGTCTTTCTCTGACTTATCTCAGTGGTTTTCTGTAGTAGTGTCCTATAGAGTCCAGTGGCGAGGCGCCTCCTCTTGGGTCACCTGAGCTGGGTGCTCCAGGTGGGTGACCCATGTGGATTGGCTTCAAGGACTGGGCGCAACCACCATGGAGGATCTGCTGTTCAGGGCCAACACCACAGAGCACGACTGGCTTCTATGGGGCTCCAGTGCCTAATGAGTCTGCCTCGAGTGTGTCGCTCATGGAGATGGTCGAGTGGTCCTTCAGCATGGTCTGAAGCTGTCCACCAGGTGCACTGGCTTTGGGGCCTCCTGAGAGGTGCAGGCCAAGGTCAGCCACCACCGGTGCCTTTTCTAGAGCTTCTCGGCATGAGCCACAAGAGGCCAAGGTCAGCCACCACCAGTGCCTTTTCTAGAGCTTCTCGGCATGAGCCACAGAACAATCTGCAGATGGCTGCTGGGCTTGGAGGTGCCTGGAGAAGAAAAGCTGTGTGTGTGCTGAAGCCAGTCTGGGGCCACTTAGCAGTATCTACAAGGCATATGCTGCTTGTTTGGGGTTTGTGAAACTTCTAGAGATTGTGGGGAAGTCCAAAGCACGAGTAAAGACAGGCCATTTGTATGGAAAAGCCACTGGAAAGAAACAGCTGGGTGGGACAGGGTTTCAAGAAATCAGCAGGGCAAGGTGAACAGTGTTGCCAGGTTGGGGGAGACTCAACTAGGCCACCTGCCTGCTGATTCTGTGGGGAGAGGCCTCAGCAAAGGAACAGTGGCCTCTGCCAGCATTTCTGTCTAGGAGAAAGTTACCCGTCAGCTCTCACCCTAATACCAGACAATTCAGTTCCCCGTATGTCCCTGGTGACTTTCAAACTGCTGCCCAGTGCTGGAGTCCAGAGCGAGTGAGTCTGTCAGTTCATGCGCAGGCCCTTGAAGAGAAACACCAGGACCTCCAGCAGCCTTCATCTCAGCTACCATCCCTGCTGGTTTTCACAGCCCGAAGTTATGGGACTTCTCTTCCCGGCACTGGAACCCTGGGCTGGGGAACCTGGTGTGGGGCTGGGACCCCTCACTCCTCAGGAGGAACCACTGTAGCTGAGAGAGCCCTCCTGATTGTTACCCACCACATGTTGGTGGGGGCCCACCCATTCCACATCACCCCTCCTACCAGTCTCGATCTGGCTTCTTCACATCCATAGTTACGACTTCTGTTCTGCTAGATCCCAGGGGTTCTGAATGATGGCTGTTTTGTAACTTAGTTGTAATTTTGATGTGATTGTGGGAGGATGTGAGACCGCATTTACCTGTGCTGCCATCTTGACCAGAAGCCAAAGGATGAGTATTTTTAACTCTTGTTTTGTCATTTGCCTTCCAGAAGAGCCACTTAAAGAGGTTAAGTGCAATTATATCTAGTAGTGCTAGAGCTTTTTCTTCACCTAGATTAAATTCTACCCCCCGAGCACATAAAATTTTAAATATGAAAAATAATGACTTTTTTTAAAGGAGGGGGAATTTTTTTTTTCTCACAGGGAAAAAAATGTCAAGTCATGGTAATATGACCTTATCATTTTTTCCTCAGCTTATGAAATGTTATCTGATCCAGTGAAAAGACGAGCATTTAACAGTGTAGATCCTACTTTTGATAACTCAGTTCCTTCTAAAAGTGAAGCAAAAGACAATTTCTTCGAAGTGTTTTCCCCAGTGTTTGAAAGGAATTCCAGGTGAGTTAAGGCATCCCCTTGTGATCATTATGCTCTATTGAAGCAGTTTTCAACCTTTTTCATCTTATGGCACACATAAACTAATTACTAAAATTCTGCGGCACACAAAAAAAATATATTTTCTGCCCATCTGACAAAAAAATAAATAGGTATAACCAGACGGCTATTGTTGTGTTGGCTGTCGTCATATTTTTATTTGACAATCTAATGGAAAAGAGGTCAGTGCCCCTGACTAAATAGTCGGGTATTGCATGTTTTAAAAATTCTTGTGGCGCACCAGTTGAAAATCATTCCTGTGTTGGCCTGCTTCTTATAGTCTCTAGGTTTCTGTTTTGCTCTCTAAATAGAAGTTTTACTTTTCCATAGTGAAATTATTTTATAACTCATGGAATGTTTTTCTTTTGAGTTTTCCTTGGGGGCAGACTGCTTTTATGTAGTGTGATACAGTTACTTAGGTGACAATAATTTCCCATTTTTTTGTTTCTCTTTTATTAATGGGTACATTGCTCTATTTGGCCCATTATCACTTGAAAAAAAGCTTTTGTTCTTTTTTTTAGACATATTTTTATTGATTTCAGAGGGGAAGGGAGAGGTAAAGAGAGAGAGAATCATCAGTGTTGAAAGAGAATCATTGATTGGCTGCCTCCTGCATGCCTCACACTAGGGATCAAGCCTGCAACCAACTCAGGCATGTGCCCTGACAGAGAATCGAACTGCAACCTCCTGGTTCATAGATCGACACTCCACCACCGGGCCATGCTTGCCAGGCTTTTGTTCTATTTTTTGAGCATCTGTGTATCATAAGGTTCTCTGACTAAGGATGATTTATATTTAAGATTAAAGCATATTTCATTTCTTCCATTTAAATCAGTTTTTACATAGGGTGTACCAGTATTCTAAATTTTTTGGTTACATCTGCATTGAAAGGTTTTTTATGGAGTACATCTGGACTGCAAATGGATTCAACTGTAGAGTCTGAAAAATTTCTGATACGTGGGTTCCACCTAAAGAGATTGTGATTTAATTGTGATTTCAGTTTAATAGTTTTTGAATTCATGTAGGGTTTTTAATGTTCCTCGGTGATGCTAATGTGCATCCACATTTGAGAACCACTTTGATTAGCCATTTGGTGTGGTCTAATATTTCTTCTAATCTTTTTCTTCACATTTGTTTTGTAACAGTATTGAAGGTGGTAAAAAAAAAAAGACTATTATTTTTTTGTAGAATGATTTTATAGAATGGAAAACAAGTCAGTAAGTAGCCTTAAGATCCTTTTACTATGTGATATATGTGATGGGTGAGGTGCTGAACCTAAAAGTCTGACTTTTAGGGGGAAATGGGGTGGTGATGAGGGGGTGGAAATTTATTCCCTCTGTGAGTATTAACATTTTTTTAAAAGGCTAGGCCTGCAGATTGCTGTACTGCCCGTTTACGGGGAAAGGGGGCTCAGGGCCTATTTTTCCTAGCCAGCCACTGGCAGCTACTACAACCCTGTAACTTACAGACTGATGATAACCTGATGGATGAAACACCATTTCATTGTTACCTCGCCCATTCCTATCCACCCTTGTCCTCTATTGCACCTGTGTTGTTCAGCACACCACTCCTAATTTTCCAGCTCCATCTCTTTAGTCTTAGAGGACCTAGAAGAGGAAGATTTAGGAGAGGAAGAATTTGTCTGTCGAACTTCTGTACCAAATTTTTAATTGAATTTTCTTTTAATATTTTAGATGGTCAAATAAAAAAAATGTCCCTAAACTTGGTGATATGAATTCATCATTTGAAGATGTAGATGCATTTTATTCTTTCTGGTAAGTGGATACACTCATTTTATGATGCTGTGATTTTTTTTTTAAAGACTAAGTATTCAGTAAATACTTGATTGTTCATAAATTAATGGAGGGATCAAAAGCACTTTGTTCAGAAATTAATAAACCTCCTATTAGCTCCTATATGATATTTAGGCTTTTATGATTGTTTTTTCAATGTTTTCTATTAATCAGATTTCTAGATACCACGCACACTCTAATGGTAAAAAATTAAAACTGAGTAGTCATTTGAATTGAATAAAAATAAATAACATCTTCGCTAGCTATCTTGCTATTAAAAGTACTTGAGTACGTGTGGAAGAAACAGTACTATTTGTCTCTATAACTAATTTCTTAATTTTTAATAAGCTTAATATTCAATGGCCACTGTATTTTCTCATATCTGATAAATTAAAACATAAAATCCCGTAAAACAAAAATGACAAAATTTAGCTCTATCAGTTTTAGTTGCTAAAAATAACCACTACTGTGGTTTAAGAGTTGACAGAGTAGCAATGGTGAAGGCAAGGAAAACTTAACAAGTCCCCAGCGAGAGAGAAACCTAATAGAAGAACTAACAAGGAGGTGTGATTTTTGACTGGAGGGGAATAATAAGTATATTTTAGATTTTCATACAATGTCATTAAAAAAGGAAGAAAAGACTTGAACATAGTGTTAATTCAGTACCAGAAGGGAGTGGAGGGGATTTATTAAAAAAACACACACACACATTCACTTGCCATTAATATTGAGGTTTTTGTTTGTTTTGTTAATCCTCACCCAAGGATATTTTTCCCATTGATTTTTAGAGAGAGTGAAAGGGAGGGTGGGGAAGGGGAGAGAGAGAGAGAAACATTAATGTGAGAGAGGCACATTGATTGGTTACCTCCCACATCTACCCTGACTGAGCCAGAGATTGAACCTGCAAACCAGCTATGTGCCCTTGACCAGGAATCGAACCCGAGACCTTACGATGTATAGGCTGGTGCTCTAACCCAGTGGTCGGCAAACTGCGGCTCTTTGGCCCCTTGAGTGTGGCTCTTCCACAAAATACCGACTTCTGCGCATGGGCCATGAAGTTTCAGTCGCACTGTACGTGGGCGCCTACACGTGGTATTTTGTGGAAGAACCACACTCACACTCAAGGGGCCAAAGAGCCGCATATGGCTCGTGAGCCGCAGTTTGCCGACCACTGCTATAACCAATGAACAATATCAGCTAGGGCTGCCATTAATGTTTTTTAAAATCATATACCTCTAAGTTAATTTTAAAGAGTTTATTTGTTTTTGTTTTACTTATTTCTGTCTACAGGTATAATTTTGATTCTTGGAGAGAATTTTCTTACCTAGATGAAGAAGAAAAAGAAAAAGCAGAGTGGTATGTATATCAACCATTAATAAAGGGAGATTTTTTTTAAATTATATTTTTATTGATTTCAGAGAGGAAGGCAGAGCGAGAAAGAGAGAAACATTAATGATGAGAGAGAATCATTGATCGGCTGCCTCCTGCAAGCCGCCTACTGGGGATTGAGCCCGCAACCCGGGCATGTGCCCCAACCGGGAACAAACCGTGACCTCCTCCTGATTCACAGGTCGACGCTCATCCACTGAGCCACAATGGCTGGGCGGAAGATATTTATTTGCCTTTTTGGTATTTGTAATGATGTAAAAATATACTATATATAAATGAGTTTTTGATATTTTGAGAGCCCTCCTCTCATATGTTAAGCTAGATGAGGCCAGATCAGTAGTTGGTTAAGATATACTTAGGAAAAGGCCATGGAATATAGAATTGTCCAAAAAGCTCAATTCAGTGAATTCTTTTTCTTCTGGGTGCTTAACTTATGTTTTATTTTAGTTTTCCCTGGAAAATTGTTTGACATAAATATTCCATAAATAAGTGAAATCATGCATTAATGTTAGTAGTATAACATAGCATTATGACCTTCTCAGACATTATTTACATAGAAAATTATGTTATATTTTCAGTCATATCTATGAGCAATATTTTGTTTCCAATGTTATCTATTTTATAGTCGTGATGAAAGGAGATGGATTGAAAAGCAGAACAGAGCAACAAGGGCACAAAGAAAAAAAGAGGAAATGAACAGAATAAGAACATTAGTTGGTAAGTGTAATTAATTTTTTTTAAGTTCTTTAATTAAATGTTAGAAATTCAAAAGATTAACTTTCTTTCTGGTAGACAATGCATATAGCTGTGATCCAAGAATAAAAAAATTTAAGGAAGAAGAAAAGGCCAAGAAAGAAGCAGAAAAGAAAGCAAAAGCAGAAGCAAAACGGAAGGAGCAAGAAGCTAAAGAAAAAGTAAGATGACATTTGATGAAGTTGGACTTTAATATTCATAAAATCTTTAATTTTCAGATCTAGTTTAGAAACCATAATCTGGATGCAGAGAATTAGCTGCTACTATAAATGAATCATGACAAGTTGGTACAATTGATAGAGGGATCTTTACCAGCAAATTTTTGAGCAAAAACATGTGATATAAATTTCTTTAATATCATGCTTATTTCTAATAGTAGAGGCCTGGTGCATGAAATTCATGCACGGGGTCCCTAGGCCTGGCCAGAGATCAGGGCTGATTGGGGCCTTCCTTCCCCCCAGCTGCTGGCTGCCAGCTGCTGGCTGGAACCTTCCTTCAATCCTTGCTGCCCCCTGGTGGTCAGCACATGTCATAGTAAGTGGTTGAACTCCCATTCAGTTGAACTCCTGAGGGGACAAATTGCATATTAGCCTTTTATTATATAGGATGTTTGTTTTGCATTCCTAAATGTGTTTGTAGGATTTTACCAGCTGCTTTTCCCAGTTCAACCCTCAGTCTTCAACACATTGATGTATCATCTTTTTTAAAATTTATTTAAAGATTGAATTTTTAAAATAATATGATAGAGCATTTAGGAATTCTAATTTTCTTATTAAAATGATTTTGTTCCCCATTTTAAAGCAAAGACAAGCTGAATTAGAAGCTGCTCGATTAGCTAAAGAGAAAGAAGAAGAGGAAGTTAGACAACAAGCATTACTGGCAAAGAAGGAAAAAGATATCCAGAAAAAAGCCATCAAGAAGGAAAGGCAAAAACTTCGAAACTCATGCAAGGTATGTCATGAGTTGACCAAGCAAAGTTGCTGATTACACTTTAAAATAAAATATTTCTCTTCTTATACTAAGCAAATATAATTAAGCTGTTGTATACATTTTATCTCAAAATGTAAATGTTTTTAAATTCACTTTTAAAAATTTCCCACATTCACATTTTAATATCCAATTCTGATTTTTTATTTTTTTTATTTAACTGCCATGCCATTTTCAAAGTTTAAAAAAAAACCACTTAATATCCTAATATTTGGTCTATATTCTTGTTTCCTTTATTATCTCAACAATGTCTTTTTATAGTTGATTTATCCAAATTAGAATTGAAATAAGA